GGGGGGGGAATACAATGTAGAAATACTCCTAGTCGTCTCACACTACAGAAACTGGAGACACTTATAAGCTCCAGCCTGATGGGTCACTTGGTTTGCATGCAGACTTTACTTTTACATTTTATGTGAGCTTGTAAGTGACAACATGTTCCCATCTGTGAATAGAAGAATGTATTGGTTATTAACATGTTGATTGTTGCAGAATGACGTGAACAGGAAGCCCTTGGGTCAAATTCCATTGGATGATACTTGCAGAATTGCTAGGACAGATGGTGCACTTACCTTTGAGGTAACAATATCAGGCTTATTTTCTAATGTTGTTTGTTATAATTTTCGTCATATATGATGTTTTATTTTGAAGTTAGCAAGCTTTTTTTTGCTGTCATTTTCCAATTATAATGTACATGTACACTACACTAATGTAAATGAGAATAGGTTAAGTATAAAATGCTGCAATATTTGGTAGATTATTCTTGCAATGAACCATAGTAACACTTTGTAAAGTTTCAACATATGCTGCTAATAATTGCTATGAATTAAGTTCCCTGGCCCATGTTGACATGCAGGTTGTAAGCAATACTAACATTGATCATCTGAACAAGGTGACCACACCCAAGAGGACTTTCTACTTGACTGGAGAAACAACGGAAATTGTAGACAGCTGGCTCAGAGGTGACAATATCATGTTTTGTGTATTTAACAATTATTATTCCACGAAAGCATTTTGGATATGAGATGGTAGATCTAGCCAATGAAGTGCATAGTGGGGAGTTGGGTCTAATAATATCATATCCAACAAGTGCAAGTGGAATAACTGTTTTATTAAAAATGCCCCCAAAATATAGAGAACTTAAATAAAATAAAAATAAAAATACCTCCCCCCAAAAAATCATTCTTACACCTACACTTACACATGCCCACATGTTCTGTGGGTCGAGTCATGTTTCCTGTCCTATCTGTTTCATCCACCTATTTGTATTTGCATCCATCTGTTCGCTTGTTTGTTCTTTCGTTTGTTTGTTCATTGTTGTGATGGTTTGTTCATTGATTTGTTTCATCCATTGCCGGTTGACTGCAATATCTCACAATACCATAACAATGTACATGAAACATTCCACTGTCATGTAACCTACTTTGCAATAAGCAAACTTGTTAGAAGATAGGTTGCTGTACCAGTATACAAAGCACTTTGCCTTTCATTAAGTTTGCCCATCACATTGCTTATGCAAAAATCTTTCCTGACATTTTTTGAGAAGATTCTTAGACAGTCACACAAAAAGTTGCAATTGCTTAGCATGCCTCTGTTTAATAGGGGATGGACGTTGCTGTTATATTGACCACCTTGACTGTTATTTTTCAGTTCTGCACAGTGTCATGAGAAAGTTTTCAAGCACTCCACTGTTTGCTCAAGTAAAAGAAAAGGAGCTCATGAAAGGCTGGCTTACAAAGGTAATGGCCCACCTCTGTTTGCTCTCAGGATAGGATTGAGACCTCTGCAAACTTCAGTTTTTCAATTTTTTTCAATCAATCCTCTTATTATTTCATTATTCCTCCTTTTGAAATTCTCTTACTACGTAGAGGTTCATCTTAATTCTCCAATTTTAAGTGCAGCTGACTGCTGTATCGAGTTAAACATAAATAAAACAAAGAAATTTTATTATTTGACTGACACTAGGTTAAACATGGCTCTTCCAAGAAGTGTTGGAGTGTTCTACTCGGCCAATACCTTTGTTACTACAAGAGTGAAGATGACAAGGTAAGCTGATTGGTTTTAAGAGGAAAAGTAATTAGAGTTTCATAAAAAGTTATCTCTCTTGTGTCATTCTTTAAAAAGTGCCATGATGGACAACAGATCAGTCTTAGAGAAAATTACCGTCCTTGACTGAGGCCAGGATCAAATGTGAATGGGTGTTGAAGATACATGTATAAAATGATTCTCCCTGTGGTTTGACCACCATCTCTCATATGCCCTTGTTGACTTCCATTAGATCTTGTGTTATTTTATCAAACCTATTAGTTTGTCAGGAGAGTCAACAACTGAGACCTTCTGCTTATTTGATAAGCAAACAACGTCAGCTTCCGTGTACTCCCAGCTTGTTTGAGCACATATTAATAGTCATTTACGATGAGGCCTCACCTATCAGCTGTCATGATCAAGTGTTATTCTCATTTCATCTCACATTAAAACCTTGTCAGTCTTTTCTGAGTTCTTGATTTTGTTTGACAGGTGCCATTCAGCATGACACACATGATTGATGTGATAGTGGAGGAACTGGAATCCCCAGACTCTGGCAATGGCACTGTCAATGCTGACCCAGTTCCGTATCGTCATTACACTCTGGTCATGAAATCACTCAAACAGCCTGCTAACACATACCTGTTGATTGAGTCAAAGGAAGAAAAGGTACCAAGCTTCAATAACTTATCTCTTCAACCATTTTTTTTTTAGATTCAAATTGTGTTACTGAGGAATGGCCACGTTATTGTGGCCACTTTCCTTTCCTTTAATTGAAATGTCACTCACTATGAGTGACCATGTTAACGGTGTTAAATTATGAAGGATTATACAGGTTGTGATTTCAGATTGTGGCTGTTGGCCGCATTAACAGGGTTTTCTTATCAGAAAATGTATGGGCGTTTCACTGGGACAAAAAAGTGGCGCAATAATGAGGTGACCATATTAACGAAGTGACTGTAAGGCTCCACTGTATATTGGTGTCTTTGCACTGTAAAATCACCAGTTTTGTACATAACATAAAGAGCCTTCATAATCTATAGTCACCAAAAAAATGTACCAAAAAAATGTCAAGTGTTTGTGATTCAAGAGTCTTTATGATAATATAATATTATTACTATTTTATTTTCTATTTTAGTCTTTTAAAGGGACAGTTTTATTCCTAAATTAGTGTTGTTGAAAAGCTGCTGTCACCTGAGTTACAGTGGAATACTGTAAAATTTGGATTTCTGAATAATTTTTGTTATTTTTTGTCTTAGGAGTCTTGGTTGTTTCATTTGAAAGTGGCATCGGGCAGTGGCATTGAAGACATGGGGACAAATTTTGAGAAGAGCATTTTCCAACTCATCGCACAAGACTGTGATCCAGGTAATAACAACTGAACATGGAAAAAGTAATGCAGCTATGCCTTACCTTTGTGCACTAAGCAACACGTCTAATAATTTTCTTGTGATTTATGTGGCCATTGTATTGTTTCAGAGAGTGACATATGGAACAGGTATGTGTTGACTCACACTAAAGAACCCATTGCTGAACCACTCACAACTCTTCCAACCAAGGAACTTGAGGCTGAAGCACTGAAACTCTTCAAGGTAGGAACGTCACTAGACAAGTTATGTGCTTTAGAAAATAAAAAATAAGAAAATAAAAATGGAAACGAAAATTCTCTATTTTCCACTTTCCCATAATTCACACTGTTCNAAAAAAAATTTTGCATAACCTATTGTTGTGAAATGCTCTTGGGAGGTCTGCTTATTCCCAAAAACATTCCACAGCAATAGTTTATGTTAAATATTGGGGGACAAACAGTGAATTATGGGCAATTGGAAAATAGAGAATAGGGGCAAGAGAATTAAGTGCAAAGCTGTTGGTTGTTCATTAAAGATGAACAACCAAATGTGTGCCAGGCAGTTTTTCCACTGAATTTTCCATTGAAAACTCGAAAATAATTCAGCAAGTTTAAACAAAGAAAACCTAACCATGAGAGTGTTTGGATATGTGGTCTTGATTACCTGATTACTGTAGAATTTTACGGTTCCATTTCCCAGTTTTCTCCTTAATTTTAGTCCCCACTGAGATAGTATGCCGAACACTGGAGATCATATTTTACCACATTTCTAAGAACTTCGAAGTTTGTCAAAACTACTCTGCTGTGTATCTGTTCTCTGTGTTTGGAAATGTGGCAAAAGCACGGTCTTTTGTTCGTGTAGTAGTTTGATTTAATGTTGTTTTCTCCCCAGTCCATCCACTTGTTCACCACAGTACAAACACAGGAATCGGCCATTGATTATCACGTGTCACTAGCCCAGAATGCCATGCAAACCTGTCTAGATCATCCAGAACTCCAGAATGAGATTTACTGTCAGCTGATCAAACAGACTTCGAAACACGTTCACAGGGGACCTGAGGACCTAGGGGTAGGTTTTTTTTTCTTCCTGACTCCTCCCACCTTGTTTCCTTGTTATCCATATAGCAATGTTGTTTCCATGAAGTAAAAGAAGAGAGACTGAAACGAGTTTGTGTGAAGAGATTTATTGGCGCTCTTTGATCTCTCATGAGCATAAATTGTAAAATTGTGCCATTGTACCGTGCCATTTAGTAACAGACGCAAATTTGAGAAGCATATGTTGAAAATTCAGTTAACGAGTTTTACAGGAAGGATATCTAAGAGTACTCCCAGAGCAAAATGCGTCCTGAATTAAATAATGTAAGGTAAAATTATTCTCATGTATTATAAACTTGTTTATACCAACACGTAACGAATGTTTTTTTTTCCTTGTTTCAGCACTTTCTCGAAAATTGCGGCAAATCCTCTTGGCTTCGGGAAGACTCTTTTGACATTGCATCACAAGCCACTATTGATCTGCGACCAGTGCAGGAGTTTGTTTATATCCAAGCGTGGCAGCTGCTCGCACTCTGCACTGCACTTTTTGTACCTAAACAGAAATTCCTTCTTTTTCTCAAGGGACATCTCAATAGATTTTCAACGTTCAAGTAATTACTGAAATATCGTTAATTTTATTAGTCATTGATATTACGTCTCATCATAGCAAACTGGTGCTGTCAGCTGAAAAAGTCACTGAATTAATTGCATTTGTTCTTTTATACATGTAGAACAAAACTCGGCAAGTATGCCACGTATTGTATCAGAAGCCTGGAGAGAATTTTACAAAATGGGAAAAGAGAGGCCAAACCATCGAGAATGGAGGTGAATAGAATAGATGCATTTTCAGTGCTGTAGTTGGAAATATTCCCTTCCTCGATAACACAACAAAGTGATTATAACGTTCTGAACAATGATATGATTTTGTTGAAGACGAGAATGAGATCGGATTCATCATAACAGGGGAACGAGAAATTAAGCATGGAACTCACGTTTTCAAAATCACAAGTTGCATCAAAATTCTGCGGCATGCAACCTTTCTTTTTTGAAACGAACGTAGTTAATAGATGGAAATGGTTACGAAACGCGGCAAACATCAAAGAAGCAAACAAACAGGCTAAGATTTACGATGGAAGGTCCTTGACCCTGCACATCTTTTGTTTATGCTCATAGACTACACATGAATTACTTAATCGCAATGCTTCTATTGGTTAGTTGTGTTAGCACACATAACCACCTTTTGTTATATTGCCAGGTTTTGTGCAGGGTCAATCCCCAAAATAGCCAACAAAAACATACAACAAAGAACTTTGCCAGGTTTCTTAACCATTTTCCTCTGTTAACTATGCAACGAGGAATACAAAGTAGTGTAGCTTTACCCAGTCGCACTGTTTCTTCAGTAAGTGCTCAAGTTGATTCGTTATTTGTTATGATCTTAATCTTCCCAGGTTCTGTCTGTTCTGCTCCGTAAGCCGTACGATCATTCGTGTTTGATGAGTATTCCGGTCCACTTTATTGATGGAAACACCCAAGTAAGTTACAAAAGATCAGCGAAGATTTAAAAACAGATAATGCTGGAATTTAAAAACAGATAATGCTAGAATAATTCAATTCCAGGTAAGGTATTTGATGAGTTTATCAGGGTTACCACAGGTCAGGAAATGGCCAGGGAAAAAACTCGTCAAGGTCAGAGAAAAGTCAGAGAATTTTCTTTTTGAGTCCAGAAAAAATGACATTTTCAAGAAAAGTCAAGGGAAATTGAAATAATTCAACACAGCTGATTTAATACCATTGAGGGCTGGAATAATTATTTGGGTTCGCTGTGGTCACACCAATTTAGTTTTTCCTTAATGAAGACGGAAAATGTGTTGAAAACTTATCAGTCTTAATCAATGGGTGGAAAGGACGGTTGTAAGGGGAGGATAGAAGCCGTTACTCTATCTGACATTTTGTATTCTGGGAAATGATATTTTTATCCGAGAAAAGGCAGAGAATTTTGAAAAGTGATGTCTGTAGCAACTATTTTTTTTAAATTAAGTGAACGAGTTGCACATTGTGTCTTGTTTTGTTTTGCTTGCCAGGTATTTGGCTTTGATGGCTCGACTACCATTCAAGAATTTTCTGAGACTATTAACAGAGTAAGTTGAAGCCAAGTCTGTCTCTAATATTACTAAAGCTCCGACTTAATTACGTATTGTTACAAGCCTTCTTAACTTTTGAATTCATTTTTTTGCAGGTGGTCGGCATTCGCACACCCTCAGAGAGCGGTTACGCGCTCTTCACAGATAATCCCGTTAATTTAGTGGAACATTGCTTACAAGCCAGTGTCAAGGTTCGTATTTAATGTTTCTTTGTTGAACTTAAAAGTCTGTATAGTTAAGGCCCCGTCCACACAAAACCGGAGAAATTTGAAAACGCAACGTTCTTTCTAAGGTTAAGTCTACCGTCCACACTACTCCGTCACGAAAATGGAGCTTTTCGAAAACGCTCTTCAAGCCGCAGGAATTTGAAAACGCCGGCTTTCCGTTTTAGTGTGGACGGAAAACATTTTGGAAACGGAGCTTTTCGAAAACGATGACGTCACGATAATCATGTGATTTTCCTGTCCAAGTTCTCGAACACAAATCCAAAATGACCAGTGTTTGTTGTGTTTTCAAATTTCTCCGGCGTAATGTGGACGGAAATCATTTGATGCGTTTTCAGAGTGCAAACGCCGCTTTCATATTTCTCCGACGTAGTGTGGAGGGGGCCTAAGCCGCTAAGCCACTAATTGCCGCCGTGACTCTCCGTTTGCGATACATTAAGAAATAAGTTTTCTTTCTTATTACTTTAATGCTGTCTAGAAGTCCAAGCGTCCACGAAATGTGATTTAAATTGCGCGCTTCCGTTGAATCTTTTCACAGTTGTGTGACGTAATCTCAAAATGGGAGCAAGCATTGCGGAGTCAAAGCCAGGGGAAACTGGATACAAACAGGATGATCAAACTCTCCTACAAAAACAGGTATTTATCGGTCTACGACGCGCCTTTGGTTTGATTTAATCTGTTTGTGGAATCTGTGCGTTGTGTTGCACTTCAAGCAAATGATTTGAAGAGTGAAATGTTGTTGCATTCTATTATTTTTTTCTTTTATTACCGTAGGTTATACTTCAAGAGCCTCAGTAGCGGAGAAACAGAGAAAGAAAAATACTTCCTTGTTCTGCAGGTCAGCATTTACTTTTCTATATTTCTTTTTATCAACGGAGGAATTCTTTCCTATCTATCTTTCTTATGAGGCCAGTCTGGGAGGGCGTTGTAGTAATCACCGTACCCTGTTTTTTTTGCAAGAAGCCCGGCTTTCCGGGTGCCTATCTTTACCCAAGCAAGTCTATTTCTGGCCCTCTTTCTGGCACGCAACAGTGCACTCTTAGGAGAGCGTGTCCATGGCCATGAAGTGTTGCGTGACAGATGTATGGTGATGACTGTCGAGCTATTAGGACAACCTGGCAAAATCATGGGGATGATAGCGTTTTATTTACGAGGAAGGGGAGGCAAAAAGGGGGGTAGAAATACGCCTAACCATTTTTCGTGCTTTAGAAACCGGACTTAAAGGAACTGTGTAACGAATTTTAACCAGATTTAGAGCTAAGAAGATGGTCACCAAATTGAGTGAAATATAAATATAACCACTTGCAACAATGAAGTAAATCTCGTTCGTTTGTAACCTTAAATTATAACGCTGGGGAGACATACTTGTCTGTAATGAAGGTATGGTTTTGTCATTTAGATTCATAAAAGTAATCTCTTCGCTAACACTAAGTTTCAGAGTTTTGATTAGAAAACTTGATAAAATGGACTTAACTCAGCCGTGACACAGTCCCCTTAAGCTGGCATTGACGAGCGTTTGGTAATTTCGACTTGAATAGACGTTAACTTTCTCCATCTGAATTACAGGCAAATGTAAATGTGGTCAAGGGACGATTTCCCGTGAGCAAGGAGATGGCGTTAGAGTTTGCAGCTCTCATGGCTCAGGTATTTTTATTTTTTTGTTTGATTGTTCGCTCTGCTCTCTAATTTACGGACTCTTTTATCAGCTATTTTGAATAAGGTCAACGTTTTGTTTTTAGATCACTTACGGTGATTACAGAGCTCACAGTAATTCTCTACCTGGCAAAAGAATCGAGATGGTTATCTCGCAGTTCTGTGCCAAGACGATAAGGGAAGACTCTGGCAAACGGTGAGTCGGTGAAAAACGCCGCCATTAATCTTAGAATTACGAATTTCAACTCCATTGTGTTGTTTCAACTAATGCGGCGCTCTCTCTATCAATTTCCAGTTCACTCACACTGCGCATGGCCGAGAAGTGGTCGACGCTGCACGGGTGGAGTGTAAAGGAGTGCGTGGACAAGTATCTCGAGAATGCGCGTCGATGGCCCTTTTTTGGCTGCAGGCTGTTTCAAGCTCAGGTTTGAGATTACTATTATACTGGTCTTTTTCAGTGTTAATGATAAATCCAGCGTAAAGATAAACGTTTGGTGTGGATTGATATGATGCTGTTTCGAGGAGTCCAAACTTCTGGTAGAGCGTGTTCAATGAAATGACGGCTAACGATAGTTTTGTTTTTCCTTCTCACAGCAAAAGCACACAGTGTCAGCCGCCAAGAAACGAACTACAATGACAGAGAATACGCAGCCAGTTTGGCTGGCGGTGGAAGAAGACAGCATTAATATTCTGGAAGGACAGAGTTTGGTAAGTCTGCCAGCTTATCACTCGGATCCGAGGATTAATAATACCCTCTTGTCTCATTTCCTTATTTTTCTGTTTTATATACTTGTCTCTGCCACTATAGCGCAGTAATTAAAATTGTTAGAGCACTCCTCATTAGAGTGTTCACTGATTGGCCAGTTACTTTGTTGTTGTACAACAAGGAAACAAAAATTCGAAAGAATGTACAAACGCCCCTCAAGATGTAAAGCGCGAATTATCGCAGTGAGAGAACAACGACGTTTCGCATTTGGATATAGGCCACAGCTCAAACACAAAAGAAAAGGAACATCGCAGCTTTTCACTTGTTCTAGCCATTCAAACTGGATTTTCATCATAATTTTACAAGCAGTTCAAGTCTTTCAGTCCTAAAATTACTATAGGAGGGCGGTGGCTCACCCATGCAGGCCTGTAGCACGAAATGGTGAAGGGTATTTGTACTCCCCCCNGGTGGGGACGTACAACGTGTTCATGTCTTGCTTGGCTGCTAGGTTTTGAGAAGAATGAATCAGGGAGAACGCAGGCGGGAAGATCCTCAGAACAATGAACTTAACTGTCATTTGTTGCCACTCCCCCCCCCCCCCCACCCACCCCCTGGATAGCTCAATAGTCCATTGCAGGTTACCATCTAACCCCCGTCCCCCTCCTGCCAGAATTTTGTCAGGCTGTCGTAGTAATTTTCCATGTTGTCGGACGGGCGTTCCTTGGCTCTCTATCGCCAAAGTCAAAGTCAACTCTATTTAAGCAGGGTAGCCCTGGCAGCACTAGGCTACTAGTATATAACAGAACATAACCATGTAAGAAAATAGAACATTTAAAAGAAGGCCTTATAAATATTTACATGTCAGTTATTTAAAATAGGAAATAAATCTCGTCATTATCAATTATTAAAACTGACTACAAAAGAATGGGTCTTATCTTGCCTTTGGAAGTGCTAATCACGTGTGTTTGTTTGTTTTTTTCAGCGGTTAATGTGTCGCTACAGGTACAAACACGTGGTCACGTTTGGCGGGTGGAAAGACGACTTCATGTTAGTCGTTAACCAATCTATCATGCGGGGCGGCAACACAGTGGAGCAGGGAACCCAGAGATTGCTGTTCGTCATGTCCAGGGGAAAGGTGAGCTTTCGTATCCAAATTTCGTTTTAAAACCTTTCAACCATGTCGCACTGCGTTAATCGGCTTTAAAAAATAATTTAACGAAATTAATTTGCCCTCGATCTTTGTTTATGGGACAAAGGATAGTGGGGCCGTGCAACTAAATGCCGTAACAAATAATTCAAATTAAAGATCACAGGGATGAAACCCCAATTAGCACGAGGTGAACCGACCAGTTGGCTATTTACAAGCGTGGCGGAAGAGCTGAACTGGCGTCTACTTACTCCTCCCGCTGCAGAAAACAAATTGGAGCCCAGATCTCTCGATCCGGATTCCTGCGCACTCTCCATTGGACCACTCCCCCTTCCGTTATTGGTGCAAGTTAACAAGGAGTTACGTCACGGCTTGCGCATCTTGAAAAGTTTAGCCTAAATTTTTGAGATTAGTTGTTTGTAATCCGTGTTAATCTTCTCCATCCTAAGCCATCCTTCTTTATGGTTTTTTATTATCTCTATGGTGTTTTTCTATCGTAGTACATTACTATTTTCAGGTTTTCTTCAATTTAAAGGTAATTTTGTACGTGGCCGAAGTAACTCAAAATGTGGTGACTGAGCTCCTTTAAGTTGTGGAAGACTTATTCTCCCACATGAATATAAAATACTTTGTTCAGACCTATTTCTGTTTCTGTTTCAGATTTTAGAAATCACTTTGCTGATGGCAAGCTACATCAATGCTATCATCCGACAAAAAGGAATCACATGTGAGGCCCCAGGTACTCCCACCACAAGACAGGGAGTAGACGTCAAGGTCTGGGACCTCGAGAGTGCCGAGTGGCCCATAGTTCCTGGCTCCACCGTTGGTCTACTATGACGTCACCGTTTAACTTGTTGAGAAGTCGGTTGTTAATTGGGTTCTGTATCTATTTGTAAAGAGGAGCTAGCCTGATTAATTGGGAGGTAAATTGAGACAGCCAAGCGGCGTCGCCTATCCCAGAATGGAACTTAAAGCCAGCTGGAAAAAGAAACTTGTCAAAGGGGGAAAAAGACATTGTCAAGCCAAAGGTTGTTGTGTTTTTTCGTCTTGAAACCGTTACTGCTGGATGGAGCCGGATTTTTTTAAAGGAGGCAATTGAAATATTAACCTTGTGAATTATTTACGAATATTACAACATACCGTGGAGAATTACTTCTCCCTGTTCACTAAAATTATTGAGTGTGATCAAACAATATTATCGCAGATTATGTACAAAATATGTTAGGAAAAGGCAGTTAAGTTGTCTTTCACGGACCATAGTAAATTAAGTCTTGGAGCCAAGCTCAGTGTACAAAGCTGTTACATATGTTAGATTGACAGGTAAAGCTTACATATATTATTGAAAATGAAAGCAGTAGTTAGGCATTAATAAAGCGATATCTTTTATTCTTCTACGAACGGGCGTGTATTTCGCCTGTGGCTTAGCAATCTAAACCAACCGATGATCATTAACACAAACTCAAAAAATGTAGTTTTCGCAGAAACGCTGATATCAAAAGTTGCTAAATATTTAGAAAGATAGCACGTTCGTGTTTGTGAAAAACAGAAATTCGAATTTAGCATAATTCAAAATAAGTATGATTATAAGTTGATGCCCGTTTTTCAAACTGAAGAACGTTTTTCAAAACTGAGATCAATCTTGGTACAGAGAAATGGTTGACTTATTCTCAGTACATAAGAAAGTTGATCCATAGAAATAAAACTTCATTTCGAAGCAAGTCAAGTTGTTAATATAAGCTTTATTGATCAAACACCAATAAAATGTTCCTTGTTGTCGTGTGATGTTGGCTTTGTGGACTTCCCGTGCAAACAGAGCTGGTCTGTAAACGACAAGCTAAGGGGTGACAGAGGTTTTTATGATAGATTTCAGGGAAGTCCAAATCCAGTTCTAGGCGCCTCAGTAAAGAGTAAGCGTAGCGGAAACGTCCTTAATATTACCAAGTCTTATACACTGGAGCCGAACTACCTTTGTGTCTGGGTGAATCACCACGGAGTAAGCCTGACTTGCTAGCTTACGGCTTCAATAATGACAGTACCATTTGAAAGGTTAATGCTCTAATTTGGTTACCGCCAGTTCCATGCGTAGCCACACAAAGGCTGTCCCTTGGGAACAGAAGAAATCTCAGTCCAAGATTCCGCTCTTTTTCGGTCCGGAGGTTACACTCGCACTTGTAATGAGAGCGCTTGTTGGACGCGTTTCTTGGCATGCGGGAAGCAGCCTTGCTAACTGAAGTACACTCATCGGGCATGTGGCACACTGTATCACACTGAATATGACAATATAATGATGCGTGGCTTTGCTCGAGGTTTCCGAAGAAACTTACTCAGTTGCTGATAAGACGCCCAGCTTCTAACTCCAAGGCCGTAGTCAAGGGTATTTGCTAACGAAGAAAATGCTTTTGCTGTTGCACATAATAAAAGAGAATACCAGGGAGATTGACTTCCCCGGACGGCCCAGTTCGTTGTGAGTAGACGTTCAGGCAGACGTGTGGCGGGGTTTATTTTAAATCCTAAGTCTTAAATTAGCCTACGAGATTGATTAATGTTCAATTCCTTCTACAGACAAAGTCCCACACAAAAACAACAAAAACATAATAAATTTGGAGGACGAGAAGCTCCCGAAACTTTAGTCACCCCCCAAAATTTTCCTTTAGTTTGTGAGCAATGCTAGCTTTCATCTTGAAAATGGGGGTGGGGATTTAATAGAGAAGAGGGTCTACATAATTAGAGAGACGGTCGAACCCTCACTAAAATTCTTACCGAGGCAATATCAGAAAAAAAGTCTTCTTTTAAATTCACTTGTTTATTTGAGCATAGCCTCAGTACGGCAACTTGAAATTAAAAAAAATTATAATAAATTCCAAATTTCTACCTAAGCAAGTGCCTCCGTGAGCCTGTTACTGTTTTGAGGTGGTTGATCAGTTTAGACGATGCGTTCTCTGACAAAAACATCACAAAGGCACCTGCGCTTGCATTTCCAAGGATACCATTGACCCAAAAAAATATTAAAATCAATTTACATATCTCTTGTTCAATTACGCGGCTTGCTGGCGTTGCCAATAACCTGCAATAACAATAAAAACTACTGTGTTCGAATAGCGACTTTTTGCACAATAGTCAGACAGCCAGCGGGCAAATTGTCATTACTTTATTTCAAAACAATTGAGTAAACTTTGCAGTGAAGCTCGTGAATGGAAGACGTTTGATCAAGTGGTCAAGTATTTGATTTATGGCCTTTTTGCGCGAGCTTTTAATATATTTCGTGTAGAAAATTATTAAATACAAAATAAACAATGCGAAATTTTAATGTCCAAACATAAATTTAATTTTTATGCAGTCAGCGGCCTGTATTATGCAGTTCCAGAACTGCATAATAAGCTTAACGCAAAATGCATAGTAATCAAAGTTATTGAGTTTATTTTCGTGTGATTCTTAAAATATTGTTTTTTAATTTGCTTCTTGGATATTGTTCCATTTTAGCGAGTGACTTTGTTATTGGCGGCTCGCTTAGATCAGCAAACAATGAATTTTTTATTACGGAGATCCCAGCATTGTTTGGCAAAATAATCATATGTGTAAGTTATTCCTCACGAGTGATTTCCATTGGCTTTCATTGTCACATCTCCAATTAGCTGCTGCTAATGAAATGCACTAGACTTCAGAATTACACATGGTCGCGTACGACTTTCGAAAAGTGAATGGTTTTCTGCCCGAAATCTGATAAATATTTGCATCAAATCAAGGGTGCTTCTTTATATTGATAAGGTGGGTCGGTTTTACTATATCACTTCTTTAGTAAGGAGTTGTAAAACAAAAACGTTTTAGACACTCATTTCTCCAACAAGTGTGTGCTAACAAAGCTAGATTTTGTATAAATTCAAATTATGACTTTTCGTACGTCTAACACAAATGATGTGATGATCCCGGAGAGATGGAGTAATTTGTAGAAGGGCTATTTAAGGAAGCTCTTTTTTATTTGAAAATGATCCGTTTTACTACAATTGTTTTTCGCTTTCGCTAGAATGATCATTGCATAAGTCGCAAAGCTGTAAATTTGGGCAATTGAAGCGAGTACAACCCTATCTGTATGACTCGAAGGAAATCACTGAGTTTATTTTGTTTATTGGTTGAAATAGTGAGAGAAGAATTTCTCAAGATAAACTGTAGCTTTTCGTTTGTAAGTTGAAATATTGCTAATGTAAACTATGACGAATATTTAGTAGTTTATTAAATGTATGTGTCAAATGTAACAAGAATCAATTTTTGACAAACGTGGCATTTCGCAAGAGCATAGTTCATGAATTAAGGAAGCACACATCAGTTTGCACGTTGGCAACACTTGATTGTTTGCATTTATTCCTCTTTATATTTACCTGATAACTCCAGTTCACTCTGTACCGTGATCGTACCACGATATCTCAATAATTTGACATTTAAAGAACATTTCGCCGCTCTTTTAACTTATTCCATCGGTGACTATCCTTTGGTTAAATTTATCCTTCATTTTCAGACGAAATTTGAAGTCTTCAAATCGGTAAACTTCCTCGGACTATCTGTACGTAATCGCCTTTCTATTTTTTAGTACATGCGGGAAAAAATCGCCATAATATACTCTTTTGATCTTTAACAAAAAATGAATCCGAATTCCATCCGGCAATCAGGTGTAGAATTTTGCGATGTATTCGGTAACACGGACAGAAGATAGTTATTCAGCTGTGTGTTATTTTTCTTGAAAAAATGCAGTCTGTTTCCTCTGCAAGGTGGATGTAATTTATGAAACAGTTACGTTTTGCAAGACACCGAAACCATGTTATGTCTGGTCAAATTCAAATAAAAGAATATTATTTCTACGATTTCTAATTTCGAAATGTGAAAGTTTTTAATGACCTAATTATGTGGCACGTCGAGAAGCATTAAACATGGAGCGAAAAAGATCAATGCTCACATGAGTTTCATTTTAATAAAAGATGCGTGCTTACAACAGTGTATAAAATATTAAGGACGTACGATCTTAAAACGGGTAAAACATCGCTAAGGGACAATTATTATGCAAGGCACTGTGTATCCGGAATCCGACACTTCCGATTGGCTCGTTTTGACAAACAGCGACAGGTGTGTTGACAAGCTCTTGACACTGAAAACAATAGAAAAGCCCGCTCAGTGCTGGGAAAGCCAATCAAATGACGATTTGTGACAAGGGTGGTGGTGCGAGTTTGTGTGAAACAGAGCATAGAGTTCCTTTGAGACATCTGCCGCGGCTTGGGCGAAAACATCCAGATTAGTTCCTCTTTATCTTCATTGAAGGTCTTTCAGCTTTGATATTTTTTTACAACTGATGATGCTTGGTAATTTGTGAAGCGTAGAAAGCTATAATGGGCTGGAATAATGGCACGCTAGAGCAACTTTCATTTTTAATGATTTTGATGGTTTTGATTAGTGTTTTGAGGACAACAAAGTGGAAAGGATGTGTAGCTTCATCATTTTAATAGTAACCGGGGAAGTTTGTTCATACAACTGCGGAATCTCTTAGCCTATTTACTCTCGTATTTGTTAGTGTAGGTATGTTTGTGATGCGGCACCGATAAACCAATTTGAGAACACGGTGTCAATATTTTTCCTTCGCCTTTTGCCGTCGGTGACAATGACAGCGCGAGTTACAAATTTTTTAACTTTTCATGAAAGCCGCGTCAAGATCGTGTGGTACCATGCCTATATTTACCTTTAACTAATAAAAATTCTTTTTCCCCATTATAGGTGTGATTTAGGCGATGTGGAATGACCCTTGTAATTCCTATGACAAGTTTGTGGTCGTTTACGATGGAAGATCAGTGTTTGGACGAAGACGAAACACTGCTGTCAGACGAGTGGGAAACACAATCCGAAGAACTTAATTTTCTTTGTAATAACCCGGGGGAGGAAGGTAAGTCAATTCTAAGACATCTAATTGAATTCCCCTTTTCTTTTCAATCTTATAACAACACCTTATTATGTATGAAAAGTGCAGCCAAAGGCCCAGTGCATATATTCATCCCTAATTCGTATGCAGCGATCAACCCTGACTGATTGTTTGAATTAAGCACGATTCTTTTGTCTCCGCTTGTTTAATTTTGCAAAGCTAGGCCTTGAAAAGGTCTCGGTCTATTTAAAAAGCACTTACTGATTGTGCCCTGACCTATTTACTTATTCATCTCCCGTTTCACAGATATATATCGGATCAAAGAAAGAGGAATCAAACGAAAAGAGTCAAGCAATGTTGTCGTTGGAAGCGAAAGCACCGCTGTTTCACTTGTTGATCAACGGCGCTTTATGTTACAGGTCACGTTTGAAAAGTTACGTCGATTAGAAGATCCCGAGGCCTGTCTTAGACGTACAGTTTTGATAAACAATACTCTGAAAATGCTTCACAAGCAAATTTACGCGGAGGAAAACCCTTTTGTTTGTAGCGGAGTTGTGACTTTACACCCGCCCGAGGCTACTTGCACCAAAGATGAATCTTCCCCGTCAAATCCCAAAATGATACGATTAAGTTTTGACAGCAGCGTCACAGAAGACTCACGGACAAAACGTCTCGAAAATACGACTTCTGTAGCACCTGGTGAAGACTTCTGTAGCAGTTGTATTTCCGAAGGATTCACGGACGATGTGGATGATGATGTGTTTGAACCGGCGGAGCAAATTTCCTGCGATCGAGAATCGATATTTGGTGAACTCGACAATGTATTTCATAGTTATATATGTGCCCTGGAAACGTGAGTTGGAACATTTTTAAAGGCTGTTTTCAATTGCAAATGTTTGTACTTTTGTTTATCGTACCTTGGATTTTATTTAAATTTATAGATCCCCAAGGTCAACATATATTTATATATTATTGTACATACATGGCAGATTACAATGACCAAGTAGATATGGTGATCGCTGATGGAGAGATATTTTATGTGTAAGATTGCAAATTAACTTAATATTGCTTTATTAACTTATTGAGATCAAAGCTAGAGATCATATTTGTGCTTCATGTTTGTACAAAAATTCCTTGTTATCAGCAAACTTCGGTTCTTGCACTTGTTAATAAGAATTTGTTATTATTTTTTCCGGGAGCGCGGCGGCAATATCCATACCGAGACAAAGACTATTGAGGTCGGGTATTTATCTTTCATCCGAAGGTTCGTCAATGTTTTTCTATCTTTGTGATAAACAAATAACGTAGTGAGTGTTTTCAGATCAGTGCGTCTAAAATCTTAGCTGTAACCTTATGTCGTGGACATATTCAGCAAGCTTCGCGTTGATGTGTCTTTGAAGTTATACTTTTTGGATATTGAAGAAACGCGTATTTGAAGATATAAAATCTCAGACTTGCCAACATCAAAACGGCTTTATTTTGTAATCCTTTTACTACCACTAGCAGGCTACAATTTTTGAGTCAATGCCATGAAATGGCTGTTTGATTTCTTTTAAATGTATACTTTTGACAAAAAAGAGCAGTTTTGCAAAAAGTCTTCAAGAATACAACTGCAATACGTAGTAAATATTATTGCTAAATTAGATTAGACTCTGGTTGTCCCTGTAATCCCTAACTAAGGAATTTATATAAAAAAAAGCGTAGAGGGGTCAACTGCCATTGGTTTGGGACGTTAAGACAATAGTTTTAGCTCTCGTGGTATTCTAAGCATTCAACAGTTCCCGTGAAATGAACAAGTGCTTAAACACAGGTTGACAAAGGTGAGAAAATTGTGCCTAGTTGTCTCTAAAATACTTAAGTGCAGTGTTCAAGCTTTTGTTTATCTGGTCAGACTTAAAATCTGGAATATACTGCAAGAAATCTTAAATCCTTTCGTGGCAGTTTTGAGTAACAATAATACTGTTAATTATTATTATCTTGAGGCTAACTTTTCAACATACTGACCTATTGACTAGTGACATGTCACATTTTTATCAGTCAAAACAAGTTTTAACCAGCTAGGTTTTCTACTAGATTCTTTTTTTTTTTTTTTTTTTTTGACAAAGTGTTTTTTGCATGCCTCACTACAGCTCACCAGATTCTAAAAGCTGTTGGCATTTTGGAGAGGTTAATTAATGAAATAGATATAGGAAATATCTACCTTTTGATGTCATTCCCACTTTAAGCTTTGCACAGGCATGTTTTTTGAGGTTGATTTTCACCAAATGCTGTAGGAATGGCTGTTTTTCATTAATGATGCATTTTGCCAGTAAGGCAGACATTTAATTTGTGAATCAAGTGTAGCTCATAATGCAAATCTGTCCAGGCTCCATTCAAGAGCACTTTTTCACCAAATGCTGTAGGAATGGCTGTTTTTCATTAATGATGCATTTTGCCAGTAAGGCAGACATTTAATTTGTGAATCGAGTGTAGCTCATAATGCAAATCTGTCCAGGCTCCATTCAAGAGCACTGATTGGTAAACTAGCCCTTAACTTATGTGTGATTTGCGTTTGCCCAAGATCAGTCAACGTGGTACATGTTTTGTCACACATTTATCAAAACTTGGTAATCTTGAGAAAAGAAAACTAAAACTGCATAATTTTGCCTGCACCTTAAGTGTAGTCTTAAATAACTGTGTACTTTGTAAAGAAAGAACTTTGAACACAGGTACCAAACCAAGACTGTGAGGTTTTGCCTCCTGCTAGTCAACTTAGACAGGTATTTGCAATCAGTGAGGATGCCGACATCCTCTGTTAGACTGTGTAAGGATTGACTGATCCCTTTAGATACGTTGCTAAGTGACACAAGGAATTCTCACTGCACCATACTGGTGTGACTGCTTGTAGGGAACTTTAAAGTGTTAGAGCTATTTTTTTTTATTGTCATGTCACATATAGTCTGGGGTGTGAATATCTATAAAGGAAAAAAAAAACTCTATGAAAAATATTTACCATATTTTCGTGTAAATATTAGTGCTGAAAACAAAGCTGTGGTTTGTAATTCTATAGGCTAAAGATATAATATTTATGCAACGCCTATTGGTGTTATGGGATTTGTATATTAATGTATTATATGTTTGGTATGTCATTTAATTATGTAAAGCTTTGATCTCAGCTTGTGAAGTGAAAACATAACTTATTATTTGTAGACCTACATGTTATGAAAATCTATCTGGGCCATGTCAAACAAAGCTGGAACAGCTGAAGAATTACAGTAATTTATGACTGGACATTTTGCAATGAAATTATTTGAAAAAATTAAAGTAGGGTGAAGAAAATTAAATTCACAAGTAAATATAATTTATTTGTCATGTCAGACATAAAATCGTGGCCAAAGATGTTATTTTGATTTGGGAACATAATAAAGATTTCATGTGTATCGTTCTTATTTTGTTTTCAAAAAATGATTGCCTGTGAATTAAGAAATTACTATTCTTCTTACTGATCTATTTTTAAAGAAAAATATTTATTTGGCATTCCTCATTTTCACTGTTCATTTAATTTAACAGCTACTGAAACAGTACTTTGTTATGCTGATTAATATTAATAATTATACTTCAAGGTTTCGTTTATTATACTTCAAGGTTTCGTTCATATGCAGCCCATTGGTTAAAGGTGATGTTACTCAGGGCGATTTTAGTGCAGATTTTTAATGCTAATTTTTATTCCATGTTACATGGGACAAATTCTAAATTAATGGCACTTTGTTGCAGCAACGGTTGGCAACAGTATGCTACACAAGACACTTTTTAACACAACATTGTAAATTTGGCTGACATTGTTGCAGGTCTTTGAATTGTCAAAAACCTGCAACAAGCTGACACAATAAAATGTTGTGTTAAAGTTTCCATGTGTACCATGTTACGTGATATCAACTTTTCACTCAACAATGTCACACTAAAAATCGGCTTGTGTAACATCACTTTAAAGGAACACACCTTGAAAATGTTTCACATTTGTCAGTTACAGTCCATCTCAGTCTTTCTCATTTGCATCCACCCTTTTTGTAATAATTTGGTAAACTGTCATTGTTGAGGTTTCCCTTCATTTGAAGGCAGTTTTATACTTAAGAAAATGTAACTGGTGACATATTCCCTTTAACCAAAGGAAGTAATTTCCACGCTCTGGTCATTTTGTAATTTTTTGTCAACAGAGCAATTTTCATTTGAGTGTTGTAAACGAAAACCAAAATAGTTCCATCACTTTTATAAAGCCAATCACTTTTTGCAGTGATACAAAACCACAGGAAATATGCAAATTACCTTCAACACTCAGTGAAAACTGTTCTTAGGGTATTATTAATATCATTTTGTTATAATTAAACATATATTACGTAATTAACCAGACAGGCCTCTTGTAAATTGACCAAGATTATAGGTGTCCAATTAGAGCACATAAGATATAATTTAGAACAAATTATTTGCATACAAATCAATTAACTTTTGAAGATGTTTGAAACTCTAATGGCCTAATTGTTATAGTGAATGATTAATTATTCTAGAGATTTCTACTACATACTTCTTACATACATTTGTAAGTAAAAACTGATGAAAATATATGGACTTAATAAAAGATTCCATTCAAACTGCTGGAATGTTCCACTGTTCTTGTTTGAAAGAAAGATCTATTTTTTTGTTATTGGATAATGTGTGAAGCTAAGGTCAACACAGACCGAATGTGTAGTATTAGTTGACAAGTACACAGCCCAAGTAACTTTATTGTTTTAGTGTAAATCCGCTGGTTGTTCAAAACTCGACTAGTAAAATATCTATTTAAAAATCCTCATCAGACTCTTTGAAATGAAGTGGCTACCATTTTGTTAACCTCACACTATTGCACTGCTCGCTATCTATGACAGAATAGATAGTGAGTAACGTAGTCAATAAGAGAGTGGCATTCATGATAGAGCACTAGTAGATTTATACTAAAAGCAAATTTTAACAGTCAGTGGCATGCAAATAAAACAAGTAAGTCATGTAATAAAATAAATAAATAAATAGGAATTTGCAGTGGCACATCCCACAGAGAGGTTCTTTGCCCACCATTTGCAGATTGAATTGGAATTTAGAGGTGTTGATTTTTGATTTTGTGTCATGTTATTTAGCACTGCTGCGCTAATTGGAGACACGCTAAGCCAAGAAACAAGTATTGTAATCCAAGCTGGCTGGAGTTCGACCAGTTAGCTATTTACAAAGTGATAATTAATATTATTGTATAATGAGCAACTAGGAAAGAAAACTGTTCCCAGAATGCAGAGTTGGCATCTCTACTGGTGCCCTCTCCCAGTAAGTTGTCATGGCAACTGTTACTAAGCTTCCTTCTGAATTTTCGGGATCTGCTCCTGACAGGGTCATTCAACATGTCCCCGCAAGAAATTATTTCCCACCAGCAGCAGTCTCAAATCTAGTATCAAGATTCTCTTTACAGTTTGTCATCCATTATCTCTGTTTCCCATTGGAGACTTTGGTTCAAAGTTAAGATTAAAGGCAAGATAACATATTATGTAGTTCTACACAGCAAGCTTGTTCTTTGCCTACTATTCCGTTTATTTCAATCATTTCAGAGTCATGAGAAACACTTGGTGCTGCAGAATTTTGTGTACAGAAAAAACTCGTGTGACCTGTTAGCTCTTCCAGATGGAGAACAAATCATCCAGTCCACAGAATTGGTTATCAGATCTACAAGATGCAAAGAAAAAAAGCTTGAAACACGTTATTCTGCAGTTCCAGGGAATAGATATTCGTATGGACCCCCTGGGAGATCATTGAAAATTCTGAGGGATTGAGGGGTCCCAACAATTTAAAGGAGTGCACGATTTCCAGAGGGATGAGGGGTTCACAACAACAATCTTCTGTGTGCAGGCTATGGATATTTTATGAAAGAAACCAGTCTATGCATAATTTCAGTATAACTTTGAATGTTAGATGAGGTGCCGTGGTTGATTACTACTGCACTTGTTGGGGGGTGGGGGGAGTTGGCTGTCCCTTCGTGAATTGGATATATTTTTATTAGCATATCTTAAAGAAAATATACAACAAAAAAGAGAAGAACAGTTACTATAGTTGCGAATATACCTTAAGTTAGCACGCCACAAAGTTGTAAATTTTCAAAAGTATGATTTATTAGCCCACTTGTCATTTATCACAATACATTAAGAGATCGTAAATCAAAAACTAAGCTAATTCATAATCATTTCCAGCCATTTGCATGGCACTCGTTCTACATAAGTATTCCCAAATTAAGAAAACATTGCACTGAAAAAGGAACTGCAAATAAGCCAAATTCTTCACAGCTAGGCATGCGAATGTTCTAGCTCCATAAATCAGTCAATTCGACTTCTTTATAAAATATTTTCGAGTGGCTTGACTCAATAATTTCCTATTTGGATAACGTAATTATTTAGCTGCAGACTGCATTTTAAAAGAACGGTAAACTTACAAAGCTTGCCGTGTTATACATAGAGATATTATAATACAGTATAAATTACCTACAAATATGCTGCAAAAATATTCTGTTACAACTTCAAATACATCTCCAAATTCACATAAAATATTTATTTCGTATTGCATATAAAAAAAGTTGTGGATTCTATCGGCAAAACCGAATATAAATAGACTAAAGCCCACAAGCTGAAACTTAATATTATCTTAATTTCTAACTCGTCTTTCTAAATAGACTGTAACCTCTGCTGCGAACTGTAGAAATAAACGTTCTAAAGCTTTTTTTTCACTTTGAAATTTATGGCCAGATACTAGTTTAGCTACGATCCAACTAGAATTTGCATTACTTGGTCAAGTTCATCGTAAGCGTGTTCGCTTGCTCTTTCAAGCTTTACGCTGTCACTACATCTCGAAGGCAAACTTCGTGCAGCAACGCTAGTTGATCCAAGGTTCCAAGCACTGCAAAATTCATCAAAATCGATCGGAAACGATCCGTTGGGAACGTCAAAGTCGTAGAGCGAAACATCAACGTCTTTAAACTCGAGTTCTTCGGTTAATTCCAGCCCCAGAAGACTTCCACATGTGAATTCTCGAATCACGTCATCCGTGATCGTTCGTTCAGTTCGTTCGTGGCGTTCTTCGAAGCTCGAAGTATTGTTGTTCGAATCGGCGGAGCGCGAGGGGTTTTGAACTAGTGCTTCTAATTTCCCTTTGGCGCGCACTTCGTTTACGTTAGTCTTCTCTATGTCGAGTTCAAGTTCTTTTATCATTTTATCACCCAGAATATTCAGCTCTTGCTCAAAAGTTAGCGAACTTTTTGAAGTTTCGCGTGATCGCGTGCCGATATTGTGGCCAGAGAGAGTTACTGGCTCAGCTCTGTTGACTGCTCTATCGAATGTTTTTCCGTCGCTAGGTTCGCTCAAAACTGTGGTCTCTAAAGTCCTCCGCTCTTCTCTGATGTCCTCTTCGATGAGACGAAGCGTATTAGAGATCAACACGGTCCTGAAGAGGACAGGCTCTGGCCTAGTGAAGCTTTTCTGCAGTTTGCAGATCGAAATATTGAACACTGTTTGTCGTTGAAGACAACGGCCGTGAAACTCTCCATCGCCATCAACTTCAGGTAGCTTTCGTTTAACTCCGTGAGCTCGTTCTGTTATCATCCTACAAGAAAAGGTGAAAGATTAAAGGCAGTATTAATTATCAGGGGCTGAGCTAGCCATTGCATAGTTTGACATTTTAGAAAGGTTTCAATAATGTAGGGGCTGTAGATCGGACAAAAATGCGCTTATCTTGCAGAAAATTGAGTTACAAATCACAGTTGCGAAATTCAGAACCGCTTGTTTCACGCAGTGACAAAACATTTCTTCAGCGCAATCGTTTGCTCAATCAATGTTCTCCAGGAAACCTTGAAAAATCTCTATCAGCTAAGTACGAGGTGGTAACATTGTCAAAAGTTAGCAGGTAGGTGAAGTAGTGGTCTAATCAGTTACAACTCACCGACTGTCAGCCCGGAATTCGCAGAGATATCAATCCTTATTTGCAAATACTGCTATCCAAACTGTCACTTTACGATTAAAGTTTGCGGAAAATTTCTGAATCGGCTAAAGAGCTGTCTTCCAGAAACAAAAAAGAGAAGATAAAACGGCTTTGCTAAGGAATCACAGACCGGCGAATATTGTCCTTCCTTTTTCTTGCTTCCCAAGTTCAACCATCGAAACGGTTGACGTCACTCCCCCCTTATTTGGACAAGAATGACAGGTAGCATTGACAGTTGTTCCATATTTGGAGGAAGCCGTAGGAATGTAATGTAAACAATGGCACTGGCATCCTGTCATGTCCGCAACACTTCCGCTTTCGGAATGGACATTTACAGAGTATTCTGCTTTCTTGTAGGCATCCAGGCAAATTATTGATTGCTGGCGTGTTTAAATCCTTTGCTGCTGTCAACAGTGTATTTATTGTTACTCAGGCAGTAAAAAGGAGGGGAGAAAAAAGAAACGGCCACCTGCAACCGGAAATTGAAATGCATGACTTCACGTCCAGCATATAAAATCACAACCATTTTCTTTTGCTAAGTTACCAGGCGAAAAATCGGTCGAGTAACATGCTAGAAACTTCGTCAAGATGCCGAATGTAAGCCAAGCACAAGCAATTAATGTAACAGGTGGTTCCTCGAAAAACAAGCATTTTACAAACAACTACGCAAGATTTTTAAACTGAGTGGGTCGAAGGAGGGACAATCCCCGACCCACCTTCCGTTATTTTAATCCGTGGGTTATCGGAGCCGGCCTTAAATCAACAGAGCTCTTGTGCCGTGCTATGCGATTTTACACTCACCTGTCGCTAATCTACTCGTTTGGACTTCGAAAAAATCAAATCTGGAGCAGAAAAACTCGGACGTGACCACATTTCGAATCTAAGCTATGCCGCTCAATTGAAGTGAAGTTTTGCACGTAACTTTGTTTGGACAGCAGAAAAAAAAAAAACAAATATCGTTTACCTCGAATGAGTTCTTTTTCAGAAACAATTCCACGAAGAAAACAATTTTTAACTGAAACGTGGGCAGATCTCTCGTTTGCTGGATCAAGTGGAGTAAATATCAGTATAAATTGCTTTCAACTTAGGAAGTTATGTTTACTAAAGCACTGTAGTTTGTGTTTCTACAAGGGTTTATAATTTATTCATCGAAACACGAACTCAGTCGCAAAACGTTTGAGAAAAGAAAAGGGATTATTCAACTTGGATAAACTTATTTTTCGAATATCACGAGAAACCAGCTTGTATGTCCTCTCGTACCGTATTTTCTCAAATTTCACGTTGGAACCCGAATAAACTGCGGGTCTCTTGCAAGCTTCAGTGAAGCTTAAGGTGCATGGCTGTCAAAATAGAGGGGTTAATTCTTAATCTTAGAGTGATCTACTTCATGAAGCAAGTCTGCAACGACTGTCTTTCATGGTACTGCTATCTTCAAGCTGTTGTTGTATACGTTTTCCTTTTCCTTTCCAAGCTCTCCCTTCACTACGTATACCTTGTTTACATTAGTAACTTATTACAATTCTTTAGAAAGTTTTCTGATAGTTTAAACGAAGTCCATGTTCGATGTTATCGTAAATATAGCAACGTAGATGAAACTATCCAGCCGTGTTGAATGAAAACAACAATAACAACAACAACAGTTTTGACAAGTGCTTTCTTCCGGTAGCGTGGTAAGTGAGCTTAGGTACTCACACTGATTGTAGACTGTGTATTCCTACAGTTGAAATGCCGTATTTCCTTGATTTAACTCCCCCGGTGTTTATTCCAAACTATGCCTGGTGGATCTCGCGTTTTATATTTAACTACTCTAGCAGATTTCAGCCCGGTTTTCACAGCGCAAGGGATTTTATTTATTTCACTTTTCGTCAACTGAATGAATTAGTTTCTAAAGAAACCGTTGAGCTGCGTTGGTGAGCAAGAGGAGCACTTAGCTAGGAAACCCAACTTGAAGTTGAAAAAGGTGCATTAAACTGCCGTAGCGAGCATTTGAAGCTGCAGGGGTTAGTTTACTTTTATCACCTAAGTGTTCCTTTTTTCTCCAGTTTGGTTTTCCCCAACGTTTGTCGCTCACAAAGGCAAGTCCACTCGTAGGTGACAAGAACATATTTTAGGCAAAACGTACCTCAAAGTTGCTTCACTTGATCAGAATAAAACCGTAACTTGCCGTCCAGCGAGGCGGTAACAAGCTAAGAAAAAAAGATAAAAGACTAATTGGATTAAGAAGTCGCAGCAGGTAACGGTACCTTCGCGGTGTTATTTTACGTAGACGAAGAAATCAGAACTTTTCGCGGAAAGAAAAACTGATTGACATACAGGTGAGATTTACACAGTCCACATATCATGGCTCATAAATTATCAACTCAGTTAATGGCGCCAAACTTTGGCTAGTGATTCCTTAGCGACAGTTAATTCTTGCCGCCTGCGGCCCTTGATCAGTTTATGAGGTTTTTTTTGCGGATTAGTATTGTCCCTAGTAAATATTTTGTTATAGTTTCTTCAAAAATTTCTCTTTTTCTAAGAGAACGTTCTTGTCAACTCGTAATAAAGTCGCCATTTCTCGAGGCCACCATTCATGACCATTTTATATTTCAACCTGAAACAGAGTAGAAAAATAGTAAGTCCTCAGGACGAAGATAAACTGTTGCAATCGTGGTCTTAGAATTTGCTAGAGATGTACATGTTTGGTTGCATTTGACATGCGAGGGTTTGGACAAGGAGGGCTGCCATAAATCACACTGGTCAGTGACCCAGAAAAGTGGCGGAATTTTTGCCTTTTCAATTAAACTGTGGCTTGTTCCTTTACACTCCTATCTAATGTATCGATCATGGGAGTTGGAGGAGGCTAAAATTCGGGCCAATCGTACTTTCAGTTACTATAAATGCGATACAGGCCAATCAGCGAGTTGTCATGGTGATATGACGAGTGTAATTCTTAAAGAACACCCTTAATACCTGAGGCCGAGCCGGATGAAAGGCAACGCCTGATACAACGTCGGTATGCCCAGTTAGACGATGGCAAAATGTGTTCCCTCGAATGTCGTACAAGTAAGCCTGAAATGAAAACAGATTAAATGAAAACAATGCACGGATTGAACGCGCGAGATATACTCATTTTGCTAAAGGTATGTTACAAGAGAAGAGTTTTGAGGACAATTTTTAACAGAAAATTTTTACAGCAACGGTATGTTACGCTACACGATTTTTAAACAATTTTTAGATGTGCTAAATGTGATCATCAAAAATTGTCTCGCGTAATACGAAAGTATGACGGTAGATTTCATTTTGCTGAAGAATAAAAATCAACAAATTCCAGTAGTGTTCATTAGCTATTTAAAATGGTCACACACTAGGTTATGCTTTTTTATAAAATTTTTAGGCATTTTCTCGATCGCAAAGGTTTAGAACAACCTCCAATTCAAATTTCACAGTTAGAAGTTAGGCAGTCCAGTCCACACTACGCAGGAGAAATTTGAAAACGCGGCTTTATTTCTACGATTAGGCCTACCGTCCACGCTAATCCGTCGCGAAAACGGAGCTTTTCAAAACGCTCTTCAAACCGGAGGAATTTGAAAACGCCGCCTTTTCGTTCAGTGTAGACGAAACCATTTTGAAAACGGAGCTTTTTTAAAACGATGACCTCACGATGATCATCACGTGATTTTCCTGCCCGAGTTTTTTCAAATACAAATCCAAAATGACCGGTGATTGTTGCGTTTTCAAATTTATCCGGTGTAATGCTGACGGAAAGCATTTGATGCGTTTTCAGCGTGAAACACCTGTTTTCAAATTTCTCCGGCGTTATGTGGACGGGGCCTGAGACAGTACCGCACAAATAAAATTCGCGTGATTAACCCTGATCAAGGTTTGTTAAACTTCTCAGACACTTGGACTCTGTCGCGTGCCGATTGACCTGATAACATACGATGTTGGTTCAATTCAACAATACAGTAAATAGTGCGCCAAATTACGACGACCTGAATTCATCAACACCGAAAATAATATCAATCTGCAGGTTCTAAACAAAAACAACGCCCACTTGAAATAGTTCTTAAATAATTGACTCTTCAAGAGAAACAGGATGGGAGAGGCTTGTAAAGTCGCCGCCCAACACCTACGAAAAATTCCAAACAGTTGACTTAGCTCTACGGAGATCCGTGCACTCTTATTGGTTGTTTCTTAGTTTTGACTTCTAATTTCTCCCGCAAATAACAAGCAACTTGAGAAACGACACCTCCCCCTCCCCTACAACTCCCGTGGACGTAAATCCCCGTTCTAGCTTGTAAAATATCATTATACCCTCGGAAATTGTCTTCTAATAAAATGCAGGAAGGTAACACACATATTGGACTACAACTTTTGACATGGACGGTTTACATGACCTGATCACGTGGACCGCTGTGAAACTGGCCATTTCATGTTCACACGAGCTGTTCACGTGCACTTTGCTAGTCAGTCGTTCAGTCGTTGTTGAAGAGAAGCGAAAATTTCGCTAAAAAAAAACACGAACGCTTGCACTACTCACTGCAGTGCGTAATCGTCGAGGAAAAGATCTAAAATCTTTCTCTGTGGTCTAATAATACTTTCGTAAATTCATATCAGGCGTAATGTAAGCTAATGTGGGGGATTTTAATGATTGATCTAATTTTCAAAATGTAATAACGATATTCAGAGTATAGACACATCGACACATGACTGATGACTAAGAAGGGATCAACATTCCTTTTACCAGAAGTCTTGTTTTTGTTTGATATATAACACCCTTGTTTACGGTATTGGCATGTAATATTGAAGTGTTGGCTAAAATATGGTGTCGTATTAGGCTCAGATCAATCGAACAAGCGTATCACGCTCTGTCGTAAGCCAAATGCAAATTTTCCCGTGGCCATGTTGGGTTTTTTAAAGAAAATTTTGGAGTCTTAAAAGGATTGAATATCTTCCCAGATTACAATAGAAGCTATCACAGTTTTTACTAAACAACTTGATAAAGAAAGCTCGGCAGAGTCAGGATTATACTTTAGGAAAACACGACGATACCGACGAGAGTTTCTCAAACAGCAGTTCTCATACCATATTTCTCAAGGTTTTTTTTATCACATAACAGGAGTATGTCATCACCGTATAATACATGGTTTTAGCCCCCGGGGGGGGGGACCTCCCATATGGAATGGACGGGGATGCTCGTCGTCTCGCCTAGGGGTGTAAATTTCGGATTTTGATCTCGCTTAGGGTGTTCTGGGCAAAATGTCATTATTTTTAGCCGTCAAGGTCTCGTTAAGGGTTGCACTCTAAGAAATAACAAAACAGAAAGAATTTTGATTCTTTATATTTACTCAATTCATATAAACAAATTCGCCATCATTAAAAGTCACTGTACTTTTTATTTGTCTGTTTTATAAACTGGTCTCTTTTAGGGGTCTGCATAAGCTTCAGCCACGCCCAGAGTGGTCTCTTTTAGGGGTTAAATTCAAAATTTCCGACGAGCATCCCCGTCCACTCCATATGGGAGTCCCCCCCCCCGGGGGGGGGGCTTTAGCTTCCTGATAGGCTTTATTATATAGATTCAACGCGCGTGAAACTAATTTTGATTAACACTTTTTCTACTCTGTTTACCATTACAACGAGCACGCTCAAAATCAAAACTGCATGCATTACTTACTAAACATTTCGGACGATTTTAATTTCGGACAAAAAGGGTGTCCGAAAATAAAACTGTCCAAAATTTTTAACCGTCCGAAATTTTAAGCGTCCGAAGTATTTACAGTACAGTATAAAATTTTGAGCTCTGAGATTCCTTTATGAAGCAAACTCTAGTTTAGAGACTGCTTGAGCTACGTAACGGCTTGATAGGCGTAAATTTACTTAAGTTATTTTTCCTCACAGTTCTGAAATTTTTGCCCGAAATTTGTCCGAAATGAGCTAAAAAAGGAATAGACTGCAAGGCTGATACTACGTGAAAAACGTTTCGAGACACCAACATGACAAGAACCGATAAAGTAGGATCGCAACAGTGGACAGCTGTTTCGCCCTTCTTGGGGCTCGTCCGCACTGTGTAGCGAAGATATGTAACGCCAGCCCAAAAGCCAACGCACATTAATTGCAAAATGACCCGAGCACTATATAAAAAAAGGGTTTTTAAAAAAGAGTTCGAAAACTAAACGTTATACCAGTAATGTATTAGCAGACTTACCGATCTATCTTCCGAACCAGTCGCAATGAATCTTGCGCACGGACTGATCGCCACACCCACTGGCTGAGATCTGTTCACGTGACCATCATACCGTCGAACACACCTGTTAGTGCGCAAGTCCCATAATTTTATCCCATCACCCACTGCGGCCGTCAAAAACAGGTCGTAGGCATTAGGAGGGTGTGAGACAAACATTGAACCCTAGGAAAGTGAGACATTTTCCAAAGAAGTGGCATAAATACAAGAACGTGCGCGGATCAGATTTATCCTCGGTAATCACACAACACATACAGGATTATTGTAGTTAGGGACGGACCATGATGTTCTCTAAGGGGGAGGAGGGGTTTGGGCGATTGTCTGGGGCATGAACTTTTTTCCACCTCAAGGTTGCGCATGTTTGTTTTGGTGGGCAATAGCTTGTGCAAGAATTATTTTTTGAGTCAAACACAGGACCTGGTTAGTCAAAAGCACTTGCTCGATTTTTTTCTTGTGGCTCCCATTGCACGACGATTCTTTTTAGCAGTTTTTGCTGTGCAGGAATTTTTATTTGGAAATTACCCACCCACTCCCTCCCCCTCCCGAAAAAAAGGGCTCCGTCCCTTAGCATGCCCGCGTGGTTCAAGGCGCTTGTTGCGTGATCTACAGGTTCCAATTTCAAACACTCCGTTCTACTTTTGTAGTGGCTAGCTGGATTTGTTCTTGGTGTTCCTGAGTTTAACGTCTTTACCACGCTATGTGAATAACCAAATAGTTACATTATAGCAAGTTGTAATTCTTACACATATTGTGTTGATTTGAAAGTTGTGTTATGATTAGATAAAAGCCGCAATGGATTTTAACCACTCCTCAGCGCTTTTCTTTCATCCAAACTCTTGTGTTTTTCGTCTAGCAGGGTTAGGCGATAAGATACATCTGCTTTGGCAGGAAAAATGACAAATTGAATTAATTGCAGCTGTGATTTACCTCGTTCTGTTGTATCGTGTGTGCAGGCCGAGAGTGCGCGTCCAGGACCACCCGGACTGTGCGAGCCGCGTTTATATCAAAGACCTGGATGGATTTATTGGAGCCACAGCACAAAACTATATCTGGATAATATGTCAAAGAAACAATAAACAACAGCTACTTGTTAAAACCATCTTTTTCAAAATTCAGGGAGAGAACAAAAGGATACAGGAATGAAATCCGTTGATAGCGGAGAAACAGGTTATTTGCTGCGCTCTCTCCTGATGAAAGATTTTTACCAATTTGTACTTGTTGTTCGTCTGGTATCTGCACACAAAAAACATGTCACTATTGCAACGCGGGTGAAAGGTTGCATTAGAAAAAAAAAATCTACGGTCCGACTTGCGGTGGGTAGATTTATACCATAGTAGAGTGAATGGTTTTGGGGCAAGACCGAGACGAAAATATCGTGGGTCCAGTTGTTAAAAGGGTCAAGAGCCAGTGGATAAATGTCTATGGCTTTAGAGAGATGGCCGTTTGTGGAGGTTTGACCGTTCTTGGCTACATTTAGTATACAAAAAATGGACAAGCACTTTAAAAACAACCCGAGATTGTGCCTCTCTTTTATCGATGCGTTGATAATGGTTTTACGCATGTGGAGAATTCAATATACCGCTGACCTGACCTTTTCACGTCATCTTTTTGCCCGGCGTCAATGTGGTACTTGTACATGTGAAGACCATTACCACTGGCTACAAGAACAAACTTGTCCACATAATAAAACTTTGCTTGGATTATTTCCTTACCAAAAGGAGGGTTATCCTGTCGAGAAACGGATATTATATGAGAAATTCTGTTACTTAAGGTAGTAACTGGTCTGGAATTTGATAACTAACTCCAGAAAGGATCGGGTATACAGTACGTAAACTGCAATAATAAGCCAACTGGTTACATTCAAACCCCGTTTCACGGATTAATCGTTTAAGACGGGCAGCTAGTTGATAAGGAGACTTTGTCTACACCCACCGTACTTTAGTATTCGAAGCGAGAACGAGAAGCCGGTACAAAGTGCGGGAAAACATGAAACTTGTGGAAAAGCACAGGAAAATAAGAAAACGGCAGCGTGAGCGGGAAAACAAAAACTGTACGACTGGAAAGATCTGGAAAATCAATCTGGTGACAGGAACGAGGAATGTCCAGGGAGCTGTCAGATCAAGCTTGGTTTTGGTGTTAACTACTTTTTAAAGATACTATAAACAATCTTAAGCATTACCTGGCGATATATAGGTCAATCGAAAAGCACACAAACCTTGACTTTATCAGAACTACCAAGTTCAGAGGCAAAGTTATGATTGACAGACGAGAATACCATCAAAGGGTCTGAGTGGGCGGGGCTCCACAATCTGACTGTCCTGTCACATGATGACGTCAACAGCCAGCGGCTGTCGTGGCTGAAGTTAACGCTGGTCACTGATCCGTCATGACCTAAGAGAGAGAGAGAAAAAAAGAGACTCGTCTTTAGTTTATATTCAGACCAAAAGATCACGACATGGATTGATTCCCTTTTTAAAAGATAAATATAACAGGGAGTTACAACAAAGGGCATTCTAACCAGTAAACACTGTCTCTTTGGTTGAAGGCGGAGGTCTTAACATGTGGGCACTCTTATTAGCTAGAGCACAAGCGATATGCTTTCCATCTCCTGTGGATCAACAAAAAGCCATGATAAGAAAAACACAGCAGAAACAAATTAACTTGAGCACAAATAAAGTTGGTCACATTTTCTCACGCTATTCATCGCTTATATATTAATTTTTTCCGCGCTAGTGTTGCCAAGCGGGGTCAAGAAGCGATTGGGTGAAGATATCACGTGGGCTGACCGTTTCTAAACAACGTCTCGTAAAGTTTTTATACTTGAGTAAAGAAGAAACCTAGACACTTAAACTGGTTTTCTCTGTGGACGGTGCAGATTAGGAAAAGTGGCGGGAGTCAATACAGCGTAACGTTACGCCAGAAAGGAGTGCAGTTAAACACAACTATCAATGGCAAATTCTGAACAAAAAACACACATTTTTACAGTCGTACCTGCAAACACGACGCTGTTGATAGGAGTGGGTTTTTCAGTGAGCGGAATTTTATACTGCAGATTAGTTGGGGCCTCGCTATCTACCGGGTATTCCTTCAACGTTGCCCTTTGAAAAGAAAGTGTAAAATTCACAAACATTTAAGTCTGTAATGTGTATATTAAGTCTTAACTATTGCTTTGCAATGGATCATTTTTCCAAAAGGTTAAGACCAAGGTTGCATTGAAAGCATCAGAGATGGCAGTCAGTGCATTTTAATGCAGCCAAGCTGTTAAGAAACAATCTCAAACAATATCTGAAAAACACTGAACTCATTAGTATTGGTTCCCCATATTAGTTTATCACTTTGATAAGTGGATATGGCGGCCAGATATAGTATGTATATCTGTAACAACCTTTACAACAAGCCGCTTGTAATAATTTGCCTGTTAGTAATAAGCGATCTTTAGCTCAGAACGAACTTACCCAGAGCTTGAGGAAGAGAAGGTTGCCCTTTTCAAGGAAACTGTAGTGGTTTTTGACTTTGAATGGCTCGTGTTTGGGGAAAACATTTTAGATCTGTAAAAGTAGACAAGACAAATTAAAAAGACAAAATTAATGTCACTGAGGCCGAAAAATAAAAACAAACCCCGCAGTATGGAACACAGTAAGTTTAATATAAAAACAGGAAAGCAAACCAAATTTTGTACAAGAGCGCAAGTTTTTGATTAGTTTTATGTGCATTTGCTGTCTGAATAATTTTTTTCTGAAATCTAAAACCCGAACTTGATCTGACCAATCAGTGAGTAGACGTTGTCTTTTCAGCCAATCGGATTCAAACTCAAAAACACCTGTAACCTGCCCGACATGACTTTCCCACGCTTTTGAAAGAGCGGGAAGTCAAGCACCACACAATGACAGCTGGTTGTTAATAATCCGGCTATAACATTGCTCCTAGAAAAGGTCTTGAAAGGGGTATTGTGCCCCTTGAGGATCTAACTTTTATCCTCGGACAACACTATATCAGAGAATAAAAATGCAAAGCAAAACGAAACGAAACGTGCCTTGGAGCCGCCGCGGTGTAACCGGATGATTTGACTTTTGAGTGGAATGTGAGGGGCTGATCACGAACGCCTGTTTTAATCCCTAAAAATATTGAATTGAAAAACAAAGATCATTTAGCATTAATATGACTCGGACAAGTGTTTTCTGATTAATCGTATATATAACAAAATTCTGGAACGTGGTTGGTTCTCCGCGCGCTTATTTGTTAGGTAATCTGTGTGAGATCACGTGGGTGTCCAGTTACAGGTATCACATGACAACTTTTTGCAACTGGATACCTGTAATCGGATACATACGCCTACAGTGTTAAAAACTTATGGAGAGCGCTAGTCACTTTTTTTCGCTCAGAAGTTCTCTTCACAAGCGCGCCTTGGCGGTTAATAGAGAACTTAAACAATGACGACCGTGACTGCGAGGACAATGCCTCGTAAAAAATGAATTGATATTTTATCTTCGAATTTCGAAATTGTCTAGATCTGTTCAGAGCGCCTATTGGTCTCAAAACTCGCTCAAGCTGAATATGCAACGCCAGCGTTCAATGGTCTTCAATTCCAAATAAATATACGAAAATTAGCCGCCGTCGTTCGTGTTCTCCAAAATTCGCAGAACTTTGTCATTTCACGTTGTTGTTTTGCCGAGGATGGTAAGAAATGTACAAAGATTTATAACGCACGTGCACAGCCATTGGTTTACTCATTAAACCTTTTTGTTTGGTGCCGTTCTCGTTGCCGTTGCCGTCGTGGTTTCCTTAAGTTCTCTAATTTACCTTTATCATCTAACAATTGTTTCCATGTATGTATGTACTTGCCCGCTGATGCGCTAACGCTGATGCTCTCACGTTGTGAACTGGTGAATACACAGAGAAAAACTGTCGGACAAAACTGACCTTTCTGGGACGCCTTCTTCTGTTGTTGTTGTTGTTGTTTTGCTGCTGTTTTTGGTACAAGCTCTGCTTTTAAGGGTGAATTACTACAGAGAGGAGAGCTGAAAACAAACCAAAACAAAAGAAGTAACCTTCGCTCGAAAATGGATTAACATTGTAAGGAGAAATGAAATGATCTGAAATGTTGATCACTGTCGTAACCATGGTAACCATACTTTGAAAGCACGGTAATAGTGTTTGTTGCCATCTCTGCTCCCCTCGTCGCTGACGTTTCCCCAACTTCGTTGCCAAGGGAACTCAAACCTACTGACTGGAATAACCTTTGAGACAAGACCTAAAAAGGTACAGGAACCCAGAATTAAAATAAAGGAGGAGACGTTAGACTAGTCAGAGCCCCTTTACGATTTCTGATCATGAAGTGAGCGAAAAATGATCACTAGCAAAGCTAGCACGAGGGGGATGGGGACGGGCGCAGTGCCCAACCTCCTCATACTCTGCATTTACGGTTCTTTTCGTGTGTTGAACTGCCGTCTTAGAAAATAGAGAGGAGATGTAAACACACACTGGTAAAATTGTACAATTCATGCTCTCGTTAGTGTTTCATTTGGTTCTAATAGAAGTTTAGGGAACCAACAGAGCAATGTGAAAAGGGGAAAACTTAAACGACAGAATATTCAGCATGTAGCAGGTATATCTCATACCTCTGTAGCATTCTCTACTTCTTTGTTAGTTGACGGAATTCTAATGTTGACAACATTGACAGTGTTTTGAAACAAGCTGCCAATAAGACAGGTAACCTGAAACAAGACAAAATTCAAAAGCAGTTTGGATTTCTTCCTTGAAACTTTACTGATGTAATTATACAGCAATGAAATCTGGAGATGAGTCACCTGTGGAGAGTGCAATGAGCATTTCAATTCTATCTTACGTTGGCAATAATGGAAGATGTTTAAAACACAAAACAATTGTTTTCTCTGCTTGATACTTACACTACCGTTTGGTCTTTCAGCAAAGGTAAATGAACCTGGTGTAGATATTTTGTACTGTATCACATCAAGTTCATTGCTGGATAAAACAGGCTCTGAAAAAATCAAAAAGTAATTATAATAACTCTTTTTTTTTTCTTTTCAAACTGAAAAGTTGCTGTTAAACAATATCACCATGAAATCTGATATCTGCAAGTTGAGTGGCCAGAAACTTTGCAAGGATGTAGAATTATTCAATAATTGTCAACATCGTATTAAATTGAACCATTTCAAGAAGGACAGAATTTTGTAAAGAGAAACTCATTTTAACTCACCTTGGAAGTCTAGAATATAAAGTGGCTCTCGACTATTACAGTTAAGTAGAAGAACAGCAGCTGTGGTTGCTATGGCAACAATAGATGGAACATGAAATACATCCCTAGGAGTATGTGAAAAAACAATATAATTACTCTCAGTAAGAGTCTTTTACTTAGCTCTTATTAACCGAGCTGGAGGTCTGTATGGGAGAATCTTGACCGACTAAGCTCGGTTAATAAGATGTTTATTATATGGCAAAGAAGAAAACTTTAATTTGTTTAATGTAACTGATTTGCTGACATTTTGCCTGCAAACAGAGATGAGCTTAACTTAAACCTGCCAAAATTTGCTCGTACCCTTCACTCTTTTTTCTGTCATCAGGCTTTTTGGCACTTCCATAAATGATTGAGAAGAAAATAAAAGAAAACGGTGAACATTTTTGTATTTGAGTTTGCTACTTTTTC